TTTGTCAAATATTTTTATGTAAATTTGTCAAAATAATTCCGACCGACAAACTTTGAAAAATTCCTGTTCCTAAACTATTCATCCAATCTTGATGAAACTTGGATTCTGGTGCCTAGAGATGTCAACTTAAATTATGAAACTATTTTCAGAATTCTAACTACACGGATTCATGGTTAGGCCACGTATTTATCATTTGAACCAATACAATCTGAGACTAATCTAGATCTGAGGTTAAAAAGAATCTCTAACAAACTTTTATAACTTATACATTGCGATAGGTAAAATGTACTAATTATTTAAAATTTAATTCATTATTACAATTTGTTGTAAATTTGGGAAGAAATTTAGTAAAAATAGATAGAATTAATATACAAACATGGTCAAAAAAGTATGTCCACTATTTGTCCACTATTTTTGGCCAATGTTAGAGCAAAGGTCCACTATTAAACATTTACGAGTTGGCCAGCCTAATCATGTTAATGTTTAGCATAAAAATATGTCCAGTATGTATACCAAATGCTGTAATTAGTTTGCATACATCAGTGCATTTGTCAATACCATGTTATTAGACTTGTCTAAAGTGTTTTCAATATGGTACGCTTTAGAAACCATCACGTTTGTTTCAAACATAATCTACATTCAAGTATTATGGAAATCCATTACTTACAGGCCCCGTAAACAACATGATAATTGGCTAATATTGAATTGGAAAATCACTGATTTAGTCAGCATTACTGTTCATGTATTCCGTGTAAACATGATATACCACTTGGGACTTACCGATTACCCCGATGATGTCCGCGTAATACAGAGTGCAAACAATTATCTCCATGCCAGCAAATTATATGTCGAAGCAATTACCATGGTACTACTAGTATTACACCAATATTACACATTCAAATATTGTAGCCAGGAAAAGTATTTTATTACTGGTTTATCAGCAAAAAAATTGTTAACCAGTGTGTGGCTTATAAGCCTTGCACTGTCGGTACCGTTTATAGCCAATGGCTATGTATTTTATTTTGATGCCGGACTCAACACCTATGTATGCATTAAATCTGATAATTGGCTTAACAATTGGTTGATCAAGGTGAATGTCAAAAAATACACTCGATGGTTTAGACTATGCGCAGAATTTATTATACCGGCCATTATTGTTGTCATTATAAGTGCAATAAATGTTTATAACCACATGAAACAACATCAAGAAATTATCACAATCAATCAAACTCATGGCAAATCCGCTAAAATTAACATGTTGAATATATATTTAAAATTCATGTTATTAATTGTTGTTGGTAAAAAGTTTGCATTACATTATGGTATTGGATTCTATACCTATTTAGCCGCTAATACATGTGCTTATTTACACAAAAATAATGTATATTTTCATATGATGTTTATAATGAATTCAATTACAATAATACCTAATATTATGTTAAGTTATATTAATAGAAAGCGCATAAATAAACTTATTAAAAAACGTAATCGTGATGAACAAATTAAACTAGCTGCATTAGGTATAACACGGCAAAATAATATACCTCGGTCCATTCAGGACACATCTTTGTAATATTCATTTAAAGGCATAACTTTTATTAAATATTAATTATATTGTATTTTATAACCATAACTTATTATTTACTTAATTGTAAAATAATTTGTAACATTTATTATTCATGAGTAATTAAAAATTTAATAAAATTTTGCACAATTCTATTACAATTAATAAACAATTAATAAATCAATCTGATTTATTTGTGATTATCTTTGGGATATTTTGGACGTAAATATTAATACTGCAGATAAAAGTACAGTTAACCCAAAGTAACCGAACCCTAGATATATGAAAACCTCGGGATGTCTTTCAACGAGATTTCCGATTATAAACGGAGTGACAAAATCTAAGAGTGCGGACGAAAAGCACAGCACAGAATTGTTTTTATCGGTCAGTTTGATATATTTTTCACCAAAAGCAAAATATGATGACCACATGGCACTGAATCCAAACCCTTATACCGAATAATAAATAATTAAACACATAGTAATTCAAGTAACATCAAACTATAAATATTAGTATCAACATGCATTTACCTGCCAATACATTGCCAATCCATATCATGGTCAGCGAGTTAGATCCAAAAAACAATATACCCAACGATACGCCAATAATAACCAAATGATAGCTCAGCATAATTTCCGGTTGCAATTTACTGGCTATAAAAGCCGAGACGAGTCGCCCGACGGTAAACGTGGCGCTCATTGCCATCAATAGGTCGTCGGATGTCTGGGCAGACAATCTCATCGGCAGGTATTGAAAATATGTGTCACTGTTTCCAAAATAGTTTATTTCAATAGCGCTGTAAACACTTAAACTCATTGCCAGTAATACTATTAACAAAATTCTCATTTTTGGTGATATGCTATTTGGTTGAGTGTTTTGACAATCAGTTGAGTCTATGGTATGAATGATATCTTGTTCACTGTCTTCAATGTATTGTATGGCCTCTTGTCTGTGACTTTCCGGCACTTTATATTTTTTAAATATAAACATAATCATCAATAATATGGGACCTAAAAAACAGCAACATTAGATTATTTACAAAATCATACATGATAAAATATTAAGAATTATTATCGTGAATAATAACTTCACATTATTTATAAGTTAGACTTACTATTCATTATAAAATATTGTAATACAAAATTAAAAATTCTCACCGGTTATACCAAAACAACCTGCGATTATAAAAGGTGTCCGTAGTTTCGCCCGCCTGTCGACCAAATCATTGACATCGGGTACAGGCGTTGCACTTGTGGTAAGTAATGCCGACGCTATGGTTGTTGTGCTCGTTTTGGAGAGATCACCGGTCAAATAGGGTCTGACCAGAAATGGGCCTAATATACTGCCTAAACCGTATACCATAACTGACAACTGTAGCACAGGTGCGCTATTGTCGGCCCACATCTCTATAGCCCACACTTGGTTACTACTATCCCAAACCCCGCCGCCCACTGAACATAGGAAACTACACACGTATAACAGCCATATGTTTGGTGCAAATGGTACTAGAGTAGAGAATATCACCATCATAGTCAGCATTATTACAATGGTTAATTGCCGGTTGATGTACTTATATAGAAATCCAACTAAATTTTTAATAAATATTTTTATTTGATATGATTTTTAAATAATTACAATATATTCTCAACTACCATATAAAGATTTTAATATTAATAATTTAAATGCATACCTAAAGTGCCCATTAAATAGCCCGTTGAACCAATTGGGCCCTTATATAAGATGTTGGCCAGTGATGTGTGAAAAATAAACTTTAAATCCACTGATAATGGAGCTTCCATGGCTGTTATTAAACCCTAATGAGTTTTTTATTTACACAATAAAAATAAATAAATTTTTATCATAATATAGCAATTATAATTCAATTAATATTTACATATATTAAATAATTATGCAGGATTAAGTACGTGTTGACATATTTATCCCAATGTTTAATAATATCGCTTAATCTACTATTAGTTGTCACATTATTATTATTATTATTACTATTATTATTGTCAAACTTATCAACATTTATTTCACTAGGTGTCAATAAATTACTATTATTACTTTCGTAGGCATCCATAATTTTATGAGTTTTTAATTTGCATAATGGCAATTTTAAATTATTTATAATGAATTATTAATGATTTTAAGTTAGCAATTATATAATGTTTAATAAATATAATAATAATTATCAATTTATATACAGTAATAACTAAATTCTTTTGTACATGTATATCAATAATCAATATGTACTGTACATAGACACTTTAAATTAACCTTTATAACAATGATAATAATTGTTGTGATTTAAATTAGATAGTATAAACTCACAGCTCTAAATTTTCACGTCAGATGTAACATTTTTAATTGCAATTAAGATATGATTAAATGGGATTAATATTAAATCTATAGATAATGCTAATTGTGGTTAACGTATAGCATTGCTGTCAATTAAACTAATTCAGAGTTAATTTCAAATTACATAATAAGTTACAATATTTATATTATTATATCTGTTGTAAATATAATATCACAGATGTCATAATGTATTATTATTAATATTAAAATATTACATTGGTAAATTGTATACTGAACGTATTTTATGGTAAATATTTAATAATGTTTGTAATCTAATCTTACTTATAATTATAGATTGAGATTAAAAATATGAATTGCTACTTATTAATACATAAAACAAAATATTATTTCATTAGCTTTTTACAAAGTTGGTAGAAACTTTAATTTTAATTTATAATATAATAAATATAAAATTAAAAATATTGACAACAATTTATAAAATTTAAGCACTTTTAAATATATTAATTTTGATTTTACATTGAAAATATATTCTAGTTTTATCAGTTTACACATACATTGCTATTTTTATATATAAATGTTGTTAAGTTTTTTAATTGATTAAAAATATTGTATATACAAAAAGCATCTATTTATCAAAATAATATTAATTAATCATTTATATTCATTGAGAGGAAAAGTGGGGGGAGAGAGAGAGAGAGAGAGAGAGAGAGAGATGATTGTGACTCTCAAAGTACAAGTTTGTAACATTTAAAATGCTTTTAACACTTAATAATATTGCAATCAATCAAATATTTATAATTTAGTTTTTAAAAATTTACTTATTATATTTTTATTTATCACCAAGTTTATTATTTAATTGAATTTTAAAAATTTTAAGTAACCTACTGTGTTTTATTGGTTGTTAAAAATTTATACATTGAAAAAATAACAGTACGAATTTTATAATTAATTAAAAATATGCATAATAATACACGGAATAAAGTTATGGAGAAGAGTGGCCTGGCTCAAAACTGGGATAAATATGCATATACATTTGTTATACTACTTGTATATTTGAATTGTGTAAATAATAATTTTAGTATATTTATAATTTAAATTCTAAACATGGTCATTTATTGTAAATAGGGTTTAATGATTACAATATTTCCACCGGCAATGGTTGACATGAAGTTTATATTTAACACATCTATGACTTACATATCACTTGTGTCCACATTTACTGCCGTTGGATATGTCATTGGATCAATGGGTATGTCATTAATGAAAGAGAGAGAGAGAGAGAGAGAGAGTAAAAATTATTAGACCTTGTTATTACAATACATTTTTAAAAACTAAATTATAAATATTTGATTGATTGCAATATTATAAACTTGGTGATAAATAAAAATATAATAAGTAAATTTTTAAAAACTAAATTATAAATATTTGATTGATTGCAATATTATTAAGTGTTAAAAGCATTTTAAATGTTACAAACTTGTACTTTGAGAGAGAGAGAGAGTAAAAATTATTAGACCTAGTTATTACAATACATTTTATCATGCAAAAAATACAAATTGAAATTATAATTTAAAAAATTAATTAATATAAATATATTTAATTAGCTGGATTTTTATATAAATACATCGACCGTCAAGTGACCATGATAGTGATGAGCTTTTGTATGGCAATATTTACAACATTAATACCGTTTTGTCCAAACATATGGTTACTCTACTTATGCTCATTCATCGCGTGTATCGGTGGCGGCGCGTGGGATAGCAGTACATCCGTTTGGATCATAGAGTTATGGGGCGATCAGTCGGCCCCTTGGCTACAGATATCAGGCCTATTATACGGCGTGGGCTGTATTGTGTCGCCAATGATTATCAAACCCTATCTGACCGGCGATCTGACCCATGGGGTCGACACCAGTGCCGACTCATTGGTCTCCATAATGAATAGCACATCCGTTGAAGACATTAATAATATTGTGGACAGACGTGAGCTAATACAAGTGCCATATATGATTGTGGGCGCTATTTGTGCTATTGGTAAGTTTTATCTCAAAGTAATCACGATAGTTTTGCAATTTATCAACATGTTTTCTATCTTTTAAATGACAGTTATTGCTAAATATCAGTAACTATTTTATATTTAAAAAATGCAACTTTTAACTAAACATTTATCACTTGTTTAGGACCCGTGCTATTGCTGATAATGCACATGGTGAAACGATATCACGTGCCTATGGATAGAATAACGGAACAAAAAACAGAAAATAAACATGATCATTGGGCAGACAGGCCAGAGGGCAAACAATC